TTCCATGAGAGAACTAAGCACATAGATATCAAGTATCATTTTGTGCGTGATGTGATTGAAGAAGGTAAGTGAAGGTATGCAAGATTAGTACTCATGATAATCCTGCCGATATGATGACAAAGCTCGTTCCTTGCTAAGTTTGAGCAGGCTCAAGCTTAGTTGGTTTAATTGGATAGTCCAAGAGACTATTGTTGGCACCAATGGTTTTCTATCTTTGGTATGTTCAGGATGAAGGGTTGATTTATGATACAAGATGAATTTGTCTCAAGGTGGAGTTTGTTGGAGTTGTTCCAAATTCACTCCAGGATATAGGCCAGGCTTCTGACGGAGCGAAGCGGAGGCCCGTCGCCGGAGGCTTGGGCCGGAGCGTAGCGGAGTAACCCAAAACTCTTGAGATAGTGAGATTGTTGCTGGCTGGTGCCCGTGGTTTTTCCCCTTCACATCGGAGGGGTTTTCCACGTTAAATCGTGTGTCTCCTCTGTGGTTTGATTCTTTACTTCATATTTCTATACGTCGTTCATAACAGAGCTCACTTTACATGGTGCACTGTACCTACAATGAAGATCATCTACTTACGCTTGTGTTTCGCTTTCCATCCAACAAATAGCTAGTTGGACAGTGTGTGATGTAACACCAAATCATCTACTTACACAATGTTTGTTTGTTTGTTAAAATTTATTTCAAGATTCAACAACGCTATCCTTCCACTGCTAAATGACGTACTCATTGACAGCGAGAAGCAGGGGCAGAGGGAGGGGGCTAGGGTGGGCCTGCCACATCCCAACAACTTTCTAATTACTCTACTAATCCCTCATTAGCTCTAGATGAGATTTTGTTTGTCATTTTTTTTTAACCATCAGTGTTAGTTTTAGATGGTTGGGAGATAAGCATTTGACTCAAGTTTGTAGTAAGGAAAAAAGAAGTTTCTAATTTGCAAGTGATTCAAAAAGCATAACAAGGATTCTGGTGGTTTTCTTTTCCCCTGTTTTCTTTTGTCTGTACTCTGTATTGTTGTGTTGCTTCCTTTTCCTTTCCTTTGCCCTCCTGTTTGTGTTTCGAGCAGAGGCAGAGGCAGAGCAGTATAAAAAGAGGCGCGCGCGCGATTGTTTCCAGCCACCACTTCATTTCAATTTCAATTTGAATTCAACTAGGACTAGGAGCAGCAGGCAGCAGGCAGCATCGTCTCATGGTGAGCAGCACCTCCCACTCCCAGAATTCAAACAGCTCCCCGCCGCCGCCGCCTGTGCACCTCAGCACCGGCATCGTCGGCTTCCTCGCCCGGCGTGCCGCCATGACGACGCGTCACCCATCATCCTTCCAGTTCCAGCAGCCCCGAGTGGCAGTGGCACCGCTGGACTCGCCGGGCTCCTCCACCGGCTCTGTCGACTCCTCTGCGCCGTGGAGCTTCATGGCTCAGCAACAGCACCGCGCGCCGCCCGCCCCCGTGCTCCCATTCGACAGCAACGACACCGACGAGGTGGCGCTGCTGGACATGATCGCCGGGCAGCGGCAGTTGCAGGAGGAGGCCGGCCTGGCCCTGGCAACGTCGACGCAGGAAGAAGCAGAGGCGAATAATGGCACGGGAGCCATGGGGCCTGGCGGGCGGCCCTACCGCGGGGTGCGCAAGCGTCCGTGGGGCAAGTTCGCGGCGGAGATCCGGGACTCGACGCGCAACGGCGTGCGCGTGTGGCTGGGCACCTTCGACAGCGCCGAGGCGGCGGCGCTGGCGTACGACCAGGCAGCGTTCGCCATGCGTGGCGCCGCCGCCGTGCTCAACTTCCCCGTGGAACGGGTCCGCCAGTCCCTGGAAGGAATGGGCATGGGCACGGGCGTCTGCGCCGGCTCTGGCTCGCCCGTGGTGGCGCTCAAGCGGCGGCATTCTATGCGGATGCGGCGTCCAGCGAGCCGGAGCCGGAAGGCGAAGGCGGCGACAAGGAGCGAGGTGATGGAGCTGGAAGACCTCGGAGCAGACTACCTGGAGGCGCTGCTGGGCGCCACTGCCACCGAGGAGTCGTCGTCGTCATCTTGGTGCCGGAGCCACCACTCCATCTGAATCTGATCACGTGCTACCTCTGCCTAGGCATGCAAGTCAAGAACGATAAGTGGTGGCTAGCATTACCAATGGGCAAATAGCTACTCCTTGCTAGATACATCATCCATGGAGTTGTTTGGAGTAGAAGAGGGCTAAACTAGATAGTAAGGTTTTGTTTGAGTTGAAGAGAGAAAGTGAGACTAGCTCAACTGGTTTGGGTGAGAGGTGTGGTCATGCACCCAAGCACCTAGGTTTAAGGTCTCTCTTAGACTGAATTTGGGTGCATATTTCTCTTCTTAATGAAAAACCGCCTAGTTCCTCCTAGGTTGGATCTCGTTTTTTTTGTTTGAGTTGAAGAGACGAGGTCTCTCTTAAACTGAATTTGGGTGCCTATTTATCTTCTTAATGAAAAACCACCTAGTTCTAGGTTGGATCTCGTTTTTTTTTTGTTTGAGTTGAAGAGACGAGATTGATCAAGTTACATGTTTTGTTTTGAGGCGCGGGGCGGCGCCACCTTGCGCCTTCTTCTTAACGAGAAACGTTCTCGAAACAGAGGGAAAGAAAAGGAAAGGGTTTATGAAGCGCAAACTTCTGGATGAAAAACATGCTTAGGCACGTTCGCGAAGAAAAAAAAAACTTTAGGACACTAAATGACAGGTGTTTGTGTTGTATTAAAATTATCTTTTGCGTTGTCTTCCACGTGTTTTTTTATCCCTTAGAGGGGGAGCATGTTTGTGTAGGAAATATTGGTTGACATGAAGGGTCCTGGATGGAATTCATGGGCAAGATGTTAGACAAGGCACGGAAGCATTATACTTGGGACTTTCAAAGGGTCAATGGGTCTCCCCCGTGGAATTTGAGTAGCTAATAATTTGGGCGGAATCGACTCCACGTGGAGAGAGAGAGAGAGAGAGGCGCATGACATGACCAGGTCAAGCCGTCAGCCAGCCAAGAAAACAGTACTAGTACTGTGGATTGGAGACACGTGCTGGCAATGGCAATTGGCAGCTTCCAGTATTATTCTTCATTCCATCCGCTGGAGCAGAGGGCGTGACTACTCCGATTTGTTGGCAGGTTATCATCCATCCCATCCGGTGGGTCGAGCGAGGTACGATGAATCTGCTTGCTACGCCCATGCTAATTGCTACTAATCGAATATACCATCACCCCGATCGATCCACCTAGCTACTTTTCCACGCCTTGCTCGTCTTTTATTTATTCCGTCGTCGTCGTCGTCGTCTACAAAAAAAAGTTTCCATGGCTAGCTTTTTCAAGGCAGGAAAAACAAAGTCTCAACCCGACACAAAGTCTTTGTTTCTTCTGTAGGAGTATACTCCTATCTACAACCACGTGCACCTCCACCTAGCTAGCTGTCCAACTAAATCCTCATATATACCACTAAAAAAGACAATTAACCCAAAGCACTTCCTATCCTAGTATATATACGGCAGTATATAAATAAATAAATGCTTCTAATCAGACTTACCCCATCCACTCTACAATTAGAAAAAGGAAGGTTTATTGGCACAAAATACTTGAGATACCTGCCTCTAAAATATGATTCAAATCCCCCTCTTCTTGTCCGTCTAAGGAAGAAGAAAAAAAGAAGTTAATTTTTATTCCGCAATGTGCGATCACCGATCACTCTCCACTACATAGAGGAAATCAGGCATTGCTACCGGCTGCTTCTGCAATAAAATAGACTAGACTAGACTAGTATGCAATAGGATGCGAGGATGATAGAATGGTCACGTTCACGTGAGTGATAGAGAAGCACAGCAACAGCAGCAGCACGCACCCATGGCCACGCATGCGCATCAACAGTGACCAGATGCAGATGAATGTACTGTACCAAGCAAGCTAAGCTCACCACCGCCTCAGCGCTCTGCTTGCCTAACCACATTCGGAAATCGGAACGGACTCGCCGGCCGGCCGCTTCACCAACTGGTCGCTGTCTTCTCATCTCAAACTCACCTCGCTCAGAATGAAAACCAACCTTAAGCCTAATCCACATCCACTGCATGCATGCTACCTCTTTTGCTATATGACCCATCCGTAGATTGCCTTCTAAGAAACATCATACTAGCTACGGCCTAGTATATATATCCATTGGATGTACATGATTCACATCCCAATATAGATACGGAGCGGTACAAGCTACATATCATTATCGTACTAGCTACCACCATTTATATATATATATTTACATCCACCCCTTTAACCACTGCAAGTTGTAGACAGCCGAATAAACAAAATTGTTCTGGCTTGTTGGTCCAACAAATTAAGGCAACTAGTATGGAAGATGCATGCACTAGCTTTGCTAAAACAAATCACACGTATGCATGGTATATGCATAGATACAAGACAGTGCTAAAGAAGCAAAGCAAATCGATGGAATATATATATCATACATATCATGAGCTGCAAGCAAGCTAAATGTCTTATATACGCACTCTGCATTCACACAATTTAGAGTGAGAGTGACCCCGGTCAGGCCATCCTCAAATACAGGTGGTGCATGAACCTGCACCTGCCTCTGCCTCTGCCTGCCTGCCTGCATTCTTGGACCTCCTTTATCTCCTTCCTCCCTCAGAGGTCAGAGCCGGGTAGATGCCAAAAGAGCCCGCCTCAGCAATGCCGTAGCACTGCTAGCGTACGTGTGACGGCAAACATTAATTCACACAATTGCAACACTTCCAGCACTGCAGCATATTTAATTACAAGCTAAAGGGGGTGCTTGATTTGAGAAATGTGTTACCTAGCTAGGCGGTCCGTCATGATTTCATCCCCCCATGAATTCTGCAAACATCACCGATCTTTCTACAAACATACAACAGCCAAATGCTATACCTCTCTCGCCCTATGGGCTATGGCAAGCATTACAAGGGATCCAAGGTGCTCATTCTATCTATCACATACTCCCATCCCATGCATGCGCTTCAACCTACCACTTGTTAGATTGCATTGGTCAGCTTCTGGGAACTGCTTGTCCTGCTCCCTTCTCGCTCAGGCTTAACTGCTTCAGCTCCCTCAGTGCCACTGTAACAAGCTAATAATCAGTCACCATATTAGTGTTAGTTTCCAACAAAACCCTGTCAAATCACGAACAAATAGGTTAGCCATGATAACCTCATGCGCCTTCTCCAACCAAACAAACATGCCTAATTTGTGTGCGGTGTGTTTGCAAATTGTGGATTCTAGAGGTTTGCCACTCATCTTGTTCCAACGACCCTGCCAGCTGAATTCTACAAAATCAAGAGTGCGTCTCCAGTTCTCTACCATTGACCCATTCCTCTAATGTAACTCAACATTCACCATACAGTGAAAACTGCTATGATTTAATCCACAACTGCGGCATGGTAGTTGTTGTAGACCTGATTAATGATCTTATTTGAGTATATCAATCACTAGTTAACTGGAAAGCAAGTGTTCCATATTTTCAAATGTTCACTTCAGATTTTGTGGTGCAAATTGAAACCTAGTCATTTATGTGCCCAGTGCTCCAGTATCCAACGTATACAACTAACCAAACAATATTAGTATATTTCCCCATCTGTTCCAAATTATAAGTCGTTTCAGCTTTTCTAGGTACATAGATCTTACTTTGCACCTAGATATATGTTATGTCTAAATACATGGCAAAGCAATGTATCTAGAAAAGCCAAAACGACTTATAATTTGGAATGGAGGGAGTACTAAGCAAGTCAACTTATTCTTTAAAAATAAAATCAAAACTGCAAGGAAAAATGAATTCACCAAGCAAAAGTAGATGAAGCTAAACATATCAATACTCACCCTATTGGAAGCTCCAAATTCTAATCTGGGGCTTCTCCGAGGCTCGGAATTTGGATTTTGGGAGTACGCTGGAGTGCTCTGGAAAATTGAAGGCTGATTCTGGTTCTGTAGATACGCAGAGCCGCCATGGACAATGGACGGCACATTGCCATCAACTGAACAGCTATCACCATTGCTTCCCCAGGATTGCTCTTGTGTACCAGTTTCACTAGTAGCAGCTTTGTGATCTTTCTTTGAGAATTGAGTGGCTGCAGCTCGAGCCCCGGCTATTGCTGCAGTAACACATGCAGATTTTTGCAGCGTGGATTTGGAAGCAGCAAATGTAAGAGATCCTGGCTTCAAAGAGAAAGGATCTCTGGGATCTGGAAGAGGGAACTTGACAGGCAGTGGACCTTGAACAGGTGAAAGGCCCCTCACAGCCCCATCATAGATCTGTGAGATGGCAAGCAGAACAGATTCCAGAGTTATGAGTACAAGCAAAAGGTGGAAATAGGAGGAACTGCTTATGCCAACCAGGACTGAACTCACCCTTCTTTCTAAATTGTAGACGCCCTGGTAACCACGCATCTCGAATGGAACCACCAACTTCTGCATAAATTCATGTATGGAATGTCACGGACAAACAAAGATGCCAGCGGTTATGGTATGTGCTAGCTAGGAGTGAGGAGGAGAGTAGCATGTCAAACTCACCTGCGGATTCTCACAGAGCCAACAAAAGTCAGTCAGCCCTTCAAGTCTGACCTGCATTTGAGAGTAGGATGTTGCATCATGAGCTAAGTAAAATGCATTGCAGGTAAAATGGTACTGGAGCAAAGGAAGAGAAATTGGAGAGTAACAGAACATACAGACTCAGGAACGTGTTCCCAGCAAACAAGCTCTTCAGACCTGAGGCAGCCTACCACCTCAACACAGCCTGTGGTGGAACTTATTAGCACATAAAAGCAAAAAAACGGAACGGTAGGACATGAGATGCAGTTTTTCATGTCCCAGGTCAACAACTTCATCTAGGATGATGTGATGCACTTTCTCTGGTTGTAAATATAAGTCCATCTAGGTTTATCCAAGGTAAACTTTTTATGTTTTGACCATCAAATCAAAATATATTTTTTTCTTGAACACCCAGGAGAGCTTCGTATCATAATATTAAGAAGAAAAAAGGGGTAAGAACCCTTACAACACCACACACACACCTCCAACACACTTACGATCCTAAAATATGCGCCACACAAACACATAGACCAACCACAACCTCTAACACCGACAAATTAACCTTCATGAGGCGCTAGGGCAAGGAGGTGAGTAATACCTCGTGCCCCGGTCAAATCCCAAAAGTGTAGCTCCTCTACAGCTAGCATCAACGCACGAGAAACACTAGGAGAAGCACCAAAGTTTACAGTATAGATTGACAGTACAAGATTGACATTGTCAGCCAGTGTGGAAAAAAAAAACACTTTCATAATATATCACTCTTTTCACTCGAGATGTTATGTTTTTAAAGATGTTGTTAGTCAAAGTTAGAAAATATTAATTGGGACAACTTTGGACAGATTACATTTGTGATTGAAGGAAGTAGCCAGAGCAGCCGTGTCCACTGTCCTATAGTAACTGGGAGGGAAGACAGAAGACAAGGCATACGAGTGCTAACCAAGGAGGCATGAGACAGGGTAATGATCAGGGAACTTGATGTCAGTGATGCCATTGACGGCATAAATCTCCCTATAGAAATCCTCCATGGCTTTGATGGTGTCGGGGTCAGGAACCTTGGATGCTGCGTGAATCCACAGGCGGCCTGGGAGGGAAGAGATGGAACTGAATCTTACTACTTACTTATTCAAATCCAAACCAAAATCAAAAGAGGGGAAGGGAAGGCGCAGACCTGTGATCGGGGACGGCCATGAGCGGCCCTCGACACGCTTGATGCCGTGCACCAGCAGCGACGCCCACGGCTGGTGCATCGTCAGGCAAGGGTTCCCGTGGTATCCCCTGCCATCATTGCTGCGGCTGCTATGGCGGCCGCCAGCGAAACCACCGCCGCCCGAGTACCCGCCACGCATGCTGTTGCTAGTGGCGATCCCGCTTACTGCGTCCTCCGTCCGCCACGCACGGCCTAGGGTTTGGCTCAATCTGGAGAAGGATTGAAGGAAGCTAGACGAGACCGAAAAGGGGAGAAACAGGAACCATCAATCAGACCGAAAAGGGGTACAGCTGGGCCAGATCTCGAGCACAAACGTTCTTTTAATGGGCTCAGGTCATACAGTCGGCCCATGTATAGGAGAGAGAGAGAGAGAGAGAGGGGGGGGGGGAGCCTCATCAACTATGTTGAATGAAGAAATAGAAAATGGGTTCAATTACTGGAACACCTCGTCCAATAACCATGAAAATAGAAATAGAAAATGGGGCTCTCCCAATACTTGATTATAGGGTTGAGATATTGAGAGGCGGCTGGAGATACTTTTATGCATAGTGCAGTGTGTGTGTGTGTATATATATATATCATCGCACTCGCATCCCTTCCATGTTTTCTTACTTCCTTGTTGCTTTTGTTGTGTCCTCTCTTTCGCACTCACTTATTAGGGTTTCTTTGGATCGAGGCATGTCAGGCAATGCCTGTCCATGCAAGCAATCCTGCCCCTAGACGTCTAAAATCAGACGCCTAGGAGCCATGCCTGGCCAAGTTTACGAAGGTTCATTCCAAACAAGCCCTTATTCACTCATGCCCCCGGTTGCTTATCATATACTCCCCATATTCCAATTACTACACAACAAGGTATATATTATGTCTAGATACATAATAAAAGCCTTTGGCTATATGTGTAGAAAAGTCAGAATAATTAACTTGAAAAATTGAACCGAAGGGGGTACTTACAGTGAAGCAGGGATCATGTTGGCAAATAACTAAATCCCTGTTCGTTTCGCTGAAATTAGCTTACGTTGATTTGCTGCGAGAGAAAAACATTATTCCTTCGCTGAAAAGTAGCGCTGACGTAAAAGGTTCCGATCTTAGTTTTCTTTAATTTGCTTTTATATATGCATTGTCAACTCATGAGATTGGTTGGACGATATGTCGTAATTCCATTTCCCCTCCTGCTTTAGTTATGCTCTAAGCTCCTCCGTGGTGGAGCTAGTATCTTGGTAGAGAATCTGTGATGGATGGCGTGGGGCGGTGAGGATCGGTCGATGGGAGAAAAAGCTAGGGCAAAGTAGTAAAGGTAACCTGGTTGCTGCTTGGTGGTCCGAGTCCGATCCATCCATGCATGCATCGCCCATGGATCGAGTGTTGTGTGGATGGATTTGACGCTGCAGAGGCCGAAAGTTTTGATTCTGTCTGTAGAGACGTTGCTGGCTTGTGCGTGCTGGGTACCTAGGGACGGACGGTCTCTGACTGAGCTTCTGGATACTCTCTCCCCGTGTCTCAGTGCTCCTGTACTACCCCTACTCCAGTCCTGTGGAACAAGATCGTCAATCAATCAATCAAATCATGCATGCAGCAGTGCACCACTGGACACGATCACACACGAATAGGAATAGGAACAGGCAAAGTAGTAAAGGTAATCTGGTCGCTGCTTGGTGCTCCGAGTCCGATCCATCCATGCATGCATCGCCCATGGATCGAGTGTTGTGTGGATGGATTTGATGCTGCAGAGGCCGAAAGTTTTGATTCTGTGTGTAGAGACGATGCTGGCTTGTGCGTGCTTGGTACCTAGGGACGGACGGACGGTTCACGGTTCTCCTCCTCTCTGACTAGTGGCTACTCTCTCTTTCCCCGTGTCTCGTACTCCTGCTATATATGGAACAAGATCGTCAATCAATCATGCATGCAGCACTGGACACGATCACACGAATAGGAATAGGAATAGGAATACTGGCCAGCTAGCTAGGACTAGGACTAGCACTTGGGCCTCATACGGTGTAGACTATTAGAGTACGTAGGAGAGTGAAGGAGAAGCAGCAGCAGGATCGTCCGTCCTACGTACGACGATCGAGGATGGAGATGAGCCGCGCTGCTGTGGACGACATCATCCGCCGACTCCTGCTCCAGGACACGCGGCGCAGCCGCCCGGCGGGGAACAAGCAGGCGCAGGCGCAGCTGGGCGAGGGTGAGATCCGCAGCCTGTGCGCCGCCGCCAAGGACGTGTTCATGCGGCAGCCCAGCCTGCTGGACCTGGACGCGCCCATCAGCGTCTGCGGCGACGTGCACGGGCAGTACCGTGACCTGCTCCGCATCTTCCACGCCACGGGTGGGTTCCCGCCACGGAGCAAGTACCTGTTCCTGGGCGACTACGTGGACCGCGGCGACCAGAGCCTGGAGACCATCTGCCTGCTGCTCGCCTACAAGGTCCGGTACCCGGAGCACTTGTTCCTCCTCCGGGGCAACCACGAGTGCGCCTCCATCAACCGCATCTACGGCTTCTACGACGAGTGCAAGCGCCGCTACAGCGTCCGCCTCTGGCGCCTCTTCTCCGACTGCTTCAACTGCCTGCCCGTGGCGGCGCTGGTGGACGGCCGCGTCCTGTGCGTGCACGGGGGGCTGTCCCCGCACCTGCGCAGCCTGGACCAGATCCGACGCCTGCCCAGGCCCTGCGACGTGCCCGACGAGGGCCTGCTCTGCGACCTGCTCTGGTCCGACCCTTCCCCCCAGGACAGCGGGTGGGCGGACAACGAGGACCGCGGCGTCTCCTGCACCTTCGGCGCCGACGTCGTGGCGGACTTCCTCCGCAGGCACGACCTGGACCTCGTGTGCAGGGCGCACCAGGTGGTGGAGGACGGATACGAGTTCTTCGCCGACCGCCAGCTCGTCACCGTCTTCTCCGCGCCCAACTACTGCGGCGAGTTCGACAACGCGGGCGCCGTCATGAGCATCGACGCCGACCTCGTCTGCTCCTTCACCGTCATCAAGCCGGAGACGACGGACAGCGGGAAGAGCAGCAGGGGCAGGGGCAGGGGCAGGGGCATCTCCTCCGCCGGCCTGGGCCGCAGCTCATCAGCACCACCACCAGCGCCTGCGCCGCCTGCAAGTTCCAACAGAAGCACGGGGAAGGGGCTCCTGCGATACTGGTAATTACTAAATTACTGGCGGAAGAAAAGAAAAGAAAAAAAAGAGAGCGAAGCAAAGCAAGCAGGGCCATTCGATTCGGTTTTCCTGTGGCGATGGATCAAGAAGCTGCACTGCAACTCTGCAAAGCATGCACCACACCGCGTTCATTATGCTAGCTGCTGATGCCACTTTAATTAACTACTAATTTTCTTTTTGGAGGAACAGAGCTTTATTTATTACTCGGGAGCAAGGCGGGTTACAATCTCAATCAATAATGTGCTCGCCACAAACTTTGTCTTAGATCTCCAAACAGTTGAATGTCTTGTATGTGTAGCAAATTGTGCGAGCGCATGAGCTGCGGAATTACACTTTCTTTTCGTGTGGACTATCTTCCATGCACTCTGGGATTCTCTCTCCACCTTCACGTGCCTCTCTGCTGATCAAATCCGTCGACGACTGGGCGATGATAGCATGCTTACCATGCATTGTGGTGCAGTCTGTTTCGACGATTATTTCGCCGCAATTTCAGTTCCATCACAGCGCGCTAACGCCACCACCTCCTCACCTCAGTGCTTTTCCACATTTCTGATGCATCGTCAGGACAGTAAGACTTTGCCTAGCTTCTTCATCGCGAACTATCACTCAAAGTCTTTTTGAAAGTACTATCACTCTAAGTCTTGCTTCTCCTATTTCAATATCAATAACAAAAGCGCCGTCGGTATCTACCTATACCACCCATCCTCTGGCGATCGCCATCACAGTACACCTCTCTCCTTCACCAAGTGACCTTCCTTTACTAGTGAATCGCATACCCACGCTTTCCCTTTTACATCAAATGGAGCACATTTGTCTAATCCCGCACAATTCACTCAAATACCTTCTTAAAAATGCCACCAAACCAACATAAGAAGTTTTTTTTTTAGAATTATGGTTAGGTTGCTGTTCACTTGCCACGTTCGCTACATGACGGACCTAACACCCATGCTCCACGGTCCATTCTAAAATCCAGCGAAGCGCACAACTGCACAATGCAGGACTGTTTGGATGCTGCCTGCCACGCAGCAATCATCCACCCCGACTTAGTAAATCGGATGCCTGAGGATGCTGTCTGCTAGGACAACGTCCAAACATGCCCAACATGTTGTGTGCTGAGAGTTGGACGAAGAAGCATGCACCGCTGCTAGCTACTGATGTACTTATTACAATTTAATTAATTAATTATCCACACGCGGCCCGTGTGTTGTCAACTCAATTATATGTCTCTCCCGTGTGTCTCTGCCTCTAGCAGCACACGATAGCTTAGCCAGGTAGGTGTTGGTTGCTCTTGCTTGCGGTCTCGATGAAAATAGTGGCTTCTCCTAGCTCCCGCTCACACCAGTGGACTCTAGCGCGCGAAAGTCGGATTTGGCCTCGCGCGAGGAGGGACATCGGTGCATAAGTGTGCGGGCTCACCCACTAGGGATGGCGGGCTCGACCATAGCTGCTGGGGCATAGGCGCGGGCACACAGATGCCGAGGCGCACGAGCGCATGGCTGCTAAGTCCCGCTTTGATTTAAGTAACTAGGTGACAACTTTATGTTGATTCACAAGGTTTCATGTGAGATGATCAAGTGATTAGTCCACAAACTAGGTTGAGCAACATGTTGGTCATTATATGGAGATATGGCATGTTGAATATGGAACATTGGCCATGCTAGGTGCTGGGACAGTTGTGTCGCTAATGCTGTGGGTAGGGCATCCGTTTCGTCCGAACGCGCGCTGGTGGGCCTTGACGCCCGAACGGTCCAACAGGCAACACTGCCATCCGCACAGAAATAAAAATAAAAATCGCCGCTCTCACCTTCTTCTCGAATCGTCGCTGTTTTCCCACCCATTCTCTAACCAACTCTCTGCGTCTGTATCATCGCGGCTTACCCCACTACGCCCGCACCGCCGCGGCCGCAATGCAGCGGTGTGCTACATCACGCCCGAGTGCCACCGCCTACTTTCCTGTCTCCCCACTGCCACTCACCACTTGCCGCCGAGTTCTTCGAGCCAACACGGCATGGTCCACAACGACTGCTCCGGTGCGGCGTTCTTCACCACGCCCACCGCTTGCTTGCTTGCCGCCATGCATCCCCCCTCTCCACTGCACCACCGACGGCACCATGTGTTTGTTTCAGGTGTGTTTCAGAAGTTGTTTCCAAGTGTTTCATTTGTATGTTGCGTATGTTGCAATGTCTATATACGTATGTTGCAAGTATATGTTTTGAATGTTTCGGTTGTTTCATACGTATGTTTCACGCGTTTTATCTGTATGTTTCATGTGTTTCATTGATGTTGCTAAAGAATCTGATGTTGCATATGTTGCAATAGCTACACATGTATATTTCAAGTGTATATTCCACATGTTTCATCTGCTTTAGATGTATGTTGCAAATCTATGTTCCAAATATTTCAGCTGTTTTAGACGCATGTTTCATATGTTCATCTAGATGTTGCAATGATTATACAAGTATGTTTTAATAGTATACTGCATATGTTGCAACGGTCAAATGGATGTTGCAGAGGAGATGACACGTTAGGACATGGGAAGGGGCGCGGTCGAGACAGAGCGCGGCGGGGATGGTGCCGTGGCAGGGATGGTGTCACGGCGAGGGGAGGAGCGCGGCGTGTGGCGGGGGAAGGAGCGCGGCGAGCTTGACGCCGGGGGCGCAACCGGGATGGGGAGCGAGTTGCGGATGGTCGGACACGGTAACTAGCGTGGGATCGGTAGCGGCGGCCGGACGCGATTCGTTGGCGCGGGATCTTATGCGAGCGCGGGGGCGTTCGATGCGAAGCGGTTGCAGGCGTCGAAGCTGCATCCGGACATGGGCCTGGGGCTGGACGTCTAGACGCTAGCCATACTGTTTCCTTCTTTTGTTTTCCCTTTTCCTCGTCTAATAAAAGTCCTGCAAAGCTCTTGATGCCTTTCGGAAAAAAATGTAGAACATTGAAATAGTCTCGTATGACAAGATGGTGAAGATCTAAGATACTGCGAAGGACATTGTGCAAGTGTGAAGGTATATTAACATATATAGTTTGACCTAGTACGAATCTAGAAGGCTAGAAGCAGATATATTATGGGACGAATGAGCCAGCCAACTCTGTCTATTGGAATATGTCTAACAAATTAAAAAAAAAAGAATATCCCTGTCCGTGTGAATATCCGTAGGATGCTGTATGCATGCATGCGTTGCATGGATTGAAGGCGAGATCCGATCCGTGTGAACAGTGAATATGCCCGTGCCGGTGATGCATGGAGGTCGATCGGCGGTCAAAAGTAAATCCAACCTCGGCATGCAAAATGTGGAGGCCGTTGGTTCAACTGAATGGTGCGTGCATGCATGCATGCCACACCCCGCCGCCAGCGGTAAAATCGTATAATCTCTTTCTCGCAGCGAAAAGAAATAATTAAAACCCCTGGTTTTCCGTTTAATAGTCCAACCAAACTGCCGATTTTGTTGCTATATTCCTCATTCATTTATTTACCGAGACGTACGAGATCTCTCTCTCTCTCTCTCTCTCTCATTGCGTTGCGGCTTTCCATCCTTGTTATCAGTAACTAGGTTTGACCAAACAACGAACCAACGTCGTCGTCGTTCTCGACTCCGATCGATCCGATCCGATCCATCATCAGGAGCAGAGCAGAGATACCAATGGCGCGGCAGCAGCTGGAGGTGCTGAGCGCCCTGGACGCGGCCAAGACGCAGTGGTACCACTTCACGGCGATCGTGATCGCCGGCATGGGCTTCTTCACCGACGCCTACGACCTCTTCTGCATCTCCCTCGTCACCAAGCTCCTCGGCCGCATCTACTACTACCGGGAGGGCTCCCCGGACCCGGGCTCCCTGCCGCCCCACGTCGCCGCCGCCGTCAACGGCGTGGCATTCTGCGGCACGCTCTCGGGCCAGCTCTTCTTCGGCTGGCTCGGCGACAAGATGGGGCGGAAGCGCGTGTACGGCATGACGCTCATGTGCATGGTGGCGTGCTCCCTGGCGTCGGGCGTCTCCCTGGGCCGCTCTCCGGCCGCCGTCATGGGCACGCTCTGCTTCTTCCGCTTCTGGCTCGGGTTCGGCATCGGCGGCGACTACCCGCTCTCCGCCACCATCATGTCCGAGTACGCCAACAAGAAGACGAGGGGCGCCTTCATCGCCGCCGTCTTCGCCATGCAGGGGTTCGGCATCCTCACGGGCGGCGTCGTCACGCTCGTCGTCTCGGCGGCCTTCCGCGCGGAGTTCCCGTCGCCGGCGTACCAGGACGGCGCGGTGCCGTCCACGCCGGCGGAGGCCGACTACGTGTGGCGCGTCATCCTCATGTTCGGCGCCATCCCGGCGCTGCTCACCTACTACTGGCGGATGAAGATGCCCGAGACGGCGAGGTACACGGCGCTGGTGGCCAGGAACGCAAAGCAGGCGGCGAGCGACATGTCCAAGGTGCTGCAGGTGGACATCGTCAGTGGTGGCGATGCCGGCGACCGCCAACACGATGAATTCGGCCTCTTCTCGTCTGAGTTTTGGCGGCGCCACGGCCACCACCTCCTCGGCACGACCAGCTGCTGGTTCCTGCTGGACATTGCCTTCTACTCGCAGAACCTGTTCCAGAAGGACATCTTCAGTGCGATCCACTGGATCCCCAAGGCGCGCACCATGAGCGCACTGGATGAGGTGTACCGCATCGCGCGCGCGCAGACGCTGATCGCGCTGTGCGGCACGGTGCCGGGCTACTGGTTCACGGTGGTGCTCATCGACGTGCTGGGGCGCTTCAAGATCCAGATGATGGGCTTCGCCATGATGACCGTCTTCATGCTGGGGCTGGCCATCCCTTACCACCACTGGACCACCCCGGGCAACCACATCGGCTTCCTCGTCATGTACGCCTTCACCTTCTTCTTCGCCAACTTCGGGCCCAACTCCACCACCTTCATCGTGCCCGCCGAGATATTCCCGGCGAGGCTGCGGTCCACGTGCCACGGCATCTCGGCGGCGGCGGGCAAGGCGGGCGCC